CAGGTTAGTCCTCCATTACCAGGTTAGTCCTTCATGGGATCATTTACCATATCCATATTGAACCGCTTAATTGCAGTTACCATGTGGTTTCATCAGAGATACAACCCCGTATTATATCAAGCCCCTTTTTCCGGAGTGTTCAATAATAAATAAGAACGTGTAAAACAAATTTCCTTTCTGGTCATTTTTCGCAAATAAAAGGCATGTGTCACCATTTGCTTTCAGCCTATTGATTTTATGGCTTTACATGAACAAATCAAGTCTGATGGAATACAGTGCAGTGCTGGGAAGTTATTAGATTTTCTTGATTCACAGGTAAAATATTTGTATATTTGGTTAGTATATTTTACTAGTTTTATTTATTTATATGTTACTGGTTCGGTATCCTCCTTTCGTCCCATTTGTGTACGGATATTTATACAGTCTTCCACTGTCTGCCGGCTATGGCTGCTTTCAACAAAACAAATTGTTCGTGTGGTAGTGAGACTAAAGTCTGTGTTTGAAATCTTGTTTTCTTTTAGTGCATTACATTTACAACCGCTGGTCAAAAACCCCGTCGGACAAGGAAAAAGGCACCAAAAAAGAAGTAACAAAAAGATTTTATTTGCGTTTTAAACAATACAATCAGTTGTACAGTAAGAAAATCATTGTAATTGAATACAAAAATGCCCAAAATGTACCAAATCATACACCAAATTTCTTGTACAAATTCATATTTTGACAGCGCAGAAGCTAATAAACTTTACAATAATTTCTCTACTTGTGTTCAGTTTGTAAAAATCCATCATGATTTTTTTTTCTGTTTAGAACACATTTATCTTTAGTAATCTTGAATGATACGGATATCACGGCGAAAGTTTTTTTTCTGCTACGGAAACCTTTCTATCACGGTCACCGTCATTTTATCTCCGTAAAATCAAATCTCGTTATAACAGAGACCTTCTTGACTGCTAAGTGACAGCAATAGCGAGTGTTCGCGTTATTTTCAGTAATTTATTTAGTGAAAGGTTTTATTGGATTTTTGCGTCTCAGTGAAATTTGAGTAAACTTTCTTATCCTAATTCGTATATCCGCTGGCACAAAAGATTACGGGCTACGGTGAGCTTGTATCAACACGGGACTACAACGGAATGTTCATCACTAAGTCCTATAAAGTATCAAAATAATCAATGTTTCAAGTCTTCAATTCCGCTCTAAAGACCAACCACAGTGCTTGACAAAACTTTCCAAGACCATCCTTTCATCCAGCAGTGAATATGACGTCAATTCGTGGCAAACAAGGATAAATTAAACATTAATTCGTCTCGATATCCACACGATGTCTCGATTTATAACTGACTTGAATTCACTAACGCATCCAGCCAGTATATTTTAAATCGTCCTACGAGTAGAAAAAGGAAGACACTTCAGTTTCATGGTATGATGGAGAGAGACCTCAAATCACTTCGAAGATCAAGAGTAAGTTGAATTTTATAGTTTTAAAAAGTCAAATTACTTTTCTATTGATTATTAACTACTTTTAATTGATATAGACATTGTTTAACATGTGTGGTTCTTGTGGTGTATTTTTCTTGAGAAACTCTCTGCCCTGAATGAACTATGTTGTTTCTATGTAATAGCAATATGAACTATCAATGTATGTTTGTGTAAGAAACCCTGTAAATGTCAACAATAGTTCGAAATGTTGACATTGAAATGGCTTTTTTCCGCGAACTTAAATGGCTTCACTGGTATTAAAATGTTTTTTATACGACTGAGTTTTACTATTTCCCCTAAATCACTTGATAGTTATTCGCGTGGATATGTTGCAACAGAAATTTATGACCCATTGATAACGAGAAGTTTGATGAAGTATTGTTGGCCTTGTAAGAACGTAAACATCCATTATTCCTGTGAGATATAATATATCTTTTCGATGATTTGTGTTTGATTCGTGCTGCTGTTTTATTGAACATCTAAATCAAAATAATTTATTTTCAAATTCCGTGTCAGCTACGAGGTGTTTCATTCTTTTCAAATCAAATATTTGCTCATAATATTCTTTTGTGCGTGCTTGACAACACAATCCGTTGTCAAGTAATTGTCGCTATTCAAACGAAAATATAAAAAAAATTGATCGTCAAAAATCAACGGCACTTTCTATAATAATCTTCCAATTGAATTTTTAATATGAACTGTTATGGACGTAATTATTTGTTCATTTATCAAATATTAATCTACCGCAAATGAACAAAGAAGTAGTTTCTTTTTAAAATAATCTCTTCACACCATGCGGCCCTTTTTAATGATATTTATAACAAAAAGATAAATATTGTTCACATATTTTGCAAGTGCAAATTTTTACCCCAAAATCACTGAAATTTTTTAAAGAAATTGTTAATATGTTGATTACCAAATAGTCTTCCCTAGTACTTGATTGTCTTTTTTTAATAATATTAAGTTTTACTATTTTTTCAACGGATTACTTATTTTCTGTAATTGACGTCTAGTAATATTGAGTGTTGTTAAATTACCAATTAATAATTGGGCTTCTGGTCATTATTTTAATCCTGTTATTTAATAAGGGGCTCATTGATTCTGTAGTTGGTTAATATCACTATAAAGTATAATTGTGAAATTACCTTGAAGTAGCTCCGTGCTTGCAATTGTTTTACAGTAATCCATTTAATTTCTTAATGATTCAGTTGAGTGATTGAGTTTATTATGTTTTCAGCTTATGAACTATTCAGAGTTTCGTACAATGACTACTTCACTTGAGCGATATTACAAAGATATGAAACTCGCTATGATGATGGGACGCAAAGAGAATAAGGACATGGATATGAGGTATACCGATAAAAATATCACTGAAAAAATAAATAAATGCATTTTATGCACTAGGAAGTAATCAAAAAATAGCATTATCTTCGGCAATCAAAGCTAGAATTACAAATAAAAAAGTTAAAAGAAGGAAAATGGAAAGCACTTGTGGTGAATTAAAAATTGTGCGGTGTTGTTGTTGTCAGTCTTGCATCAGCTATTTCGATGAAACATTATTGTAACTATTAAACAGCAGCCATTAGTTATCTAATAGTCTTCTTCCTGGATCCCTGTGCCATCTTGAACTGTAACCTTTGTATTAAAGAGATAGAGAGCCTGCAATGATATACATCTGTGAATATTTAGTGTAGATGTAAACAAACTATTCTATCACTAAATGCTCACTGACCATTTTGTTTCAATGCAAAAGCATTGTTATCTTTCAAGTGCATGAAAGGTCTACTTGTTGATCATTTGTTCATGTGTTTTCCATCAGGCCATACCTCTATGATGAAGGCGACTCATACGACAAACCTTTTTACAACACACTACTGAAAATGCTCTATGAAGTTTCCACGTAAGTTAAAACTTTATGGAAAAAATAACTGAATTGCACTGTAGCTCTGGACCCCTAGTCGTTGTTGGGATGCGTACATGGATGACATGATTTTCAGTTACTGAGTATGTACATGTATGTTTCTCCCATTATGAATGTGTAGGTCCATATACTATGACAAGCAGTATGAAGACTTAAAAAAGATCTACAGCTGGTACAGGGCAAACAAGAAACTGATTGTATCACCACCAGTGAGTAATGACAATTCAAGCTCACTTGAACACTGACAAATCTTGCTAGCTACAAGAACCACAGAATATTGGTGGGAGACTGATATTTGAACTTGCATGGGAGGAGAAAGTATCAATTATGATCAATTTAAATGATTTTAAAAAACTTTTACAGCCAACCCTCTTCATAGGGGATGCCATGAAGTTGAAGTTGCTGATTTACATAATATATTTTATATTTCATCCATTTACTTTCTTTTTCTTTTCTCATTTATTTATTAGTATATCTATTCATTCATTCATTTGTTCACATTTTCTTTTAGAATGTCCCAATTCCAGAACCACGCACTCCAACAAATGACACAACAGATCACACTAAGTCACGTGACCTCCTGGAAAATGATGACGTCAGTGTTTGTGTGGATGATGAAGAAACACAGGAAAAGCTGAAAAGGGTTCCAAAACTACATTTAAGACCAAAAACTGCACCGCCAATAGAAAACAAAAGAGGAGTTCGCTATGTTACATGGAACGAGGCTCAGTTGAAAAAAGGCTGCAAAAGACCAGCCTCGGGAAAACAAGAAATGAGATACTATAGTCGAGAGCAGTATGCAAGGGTAAAAACTATGATTATTTAATGCATCTGTATTGATGAGGTGAACGTTGGAACAACCGACAGTTGATATGTAACGATCATTTGCCTTGGATTAAATCGTATATTTTGCGAGAAAAAATTCTATCAATTCAAAAATACATGTATATCTGTAAGTGAAGAGTACATTGAATGCTGATTTATATACACTTACAGGAACAGATAGCAAAGTCACTGAAGATAAGTCAGATTGGTCATGGCGGCGACAAGAATGGATCTGACCGGCTGTTGATTCAGCCGTCGTTATATGGTGGCAGACCCAGCACTGCACCTCCCAACAATATGCAGGTAATGATATATACAGCACAGTTCGTTATTCTCGTCTGTTGCTTTGTCAACCGATACCATCGGATTTAGACGTCTTTTTTGATGTTGTTTTAGTTACGGCTTAAAGACAACGATTTGATGAAGTCGTATGTTCTTAAGCCTTATACAAGCACTCCAGCTCCAATGTCGTCCCCAATGAACTCCCCATTAACGTCACCTCGTGACTCACCGGTTTCATTTAGGTAAGTAATGGATTTCTGTTCTATCTTCTATCTTTTCTCTTATCCCATTTTCTAATCTCATATTGATCTCATCACATCTCTTCTCTTTCTTCTTTTTTAATTTGCTTCTCAGACTTACGTGATCTTCTCTTTATTATTCTCTTTTCTTTCTTTCTTCTGTATCAATACTATTTTTATTATCGCTGCACAGATCTAAATCACCTCACTTATCTGCCCACTTTTCACCTGAGCGTGCTAAGGACCCTTCGGTCAAATTAAACGTAAGAATTCCACGAGAAAAGGGTGACATAGAAGACAACGTCAGTTCAATTCAAGACGACGCAAGCGATAAAGAAAATAGCCTCGAAACTGATGATGACTCCAACTCATCTAATCATCCATCTCCCAGAGTCCTTCCTCCTAATGCAACATCATCAGAACTGAAGCAAATACTACAAAACCAAATACACGAGGAAAAATTACTGGAAGAACAACATGGTTTGCTTCAAAAGAAGCTCTTACACGAGTATGACAAGTACGCACGAGACTGCGCCATGGCAGAGAAAGACAGGATGATGAATGTTGAGATGGTCGATGGACAAGTTGCAGTGACTCGTAATGGAACCAGATCATCGCAGGCGTCCCCAGTTTATGCGTACGACTTATCGTCGCCAGATGTCATCCCAAGCTATAACAGAATTTACTCAAAGTCAAAAGGTTAGTTTTTGTGGTCACGCCGAACGAAACCTGTACAGTGAAACTTTCAAACTGATTCCAAACATCACCTCATTTAGATTTGGTATTCCTTAGTTAGAATGATGTTAGAGTGATGTTTCTTTCGGGTTTTCTTTATTTAGTAATGGCTGTCCGTATTTGGTAGTGACATTCCTTATTTAGTGGTGGTTTTTCCATATTTGTTAGTGACTTTCCTTATTTAGAAGTGGTTTTCCTTATTTGGTAGTAACTTTCCTTATTTAGAAGTGGTTTTTTCTTAGTGTACTTGCATACTTTGCAGACGGTCATTCTCGCAGTAAATCAGCGGAATCTCCCACCATTCAGTCAGGTTATAGTCCAGCAAGACATCTTCGACATACCACTGTACCTTCWCATCGACCAGATGAAGTTAATGTAAACTTGGTACTTGACATGGTGACGCCTATCGGACTGCAAATGGAGCATGACAGACAACGGGTGAGCAAATGTTGTCTTTTTCAAGTCTTCAGACTATATACATTCTCACCCGCTTTCTGCCGCATATCTGAGTGTTTAGATTTCCCTTCCTTATAAAAATGTTCCGTAAAAAAAACATTTTCCAGGTGATGAAATGCTAAGGAATAAAAGCCCCCTCTTTACAAGTCTCGAATACCTTAAAAGAAGGTGGACGCACCTTTGTAACAAAGCGAGACCAAATCACTCAATGCAAAGCAGTTTAGCATGCAGTGATAGATACCCAAGAATAACTGTCCAAGATACGGAAAAAGTATCTATTAGTGTAAGCTCAACGGCTGCTTCACATCAGTGACAAGGCAACATTTCAAAATGGGGCGCTTTGTGATGTGGAATTGTGCAACCAGTAAAGATATGATGTGCTTTTTTTTTATTCCATGGGTTTGTGAGTTCAATCGAATGTTTTTTTATTTACAGCAAAATGGTTACGTTGTCCCAGGAATGAAGCAACCAACATCATCAATCTCTCCACCAAACCGACCAAATAGACCGTCCGAACCCCAGCCCTTGTGGGAAACATCGTCGACGGTTTCATCTTGTGCTAGCAGTGTTAATAATCAAGATTCGCCCAGGTACAGACTCTTCCCGAATGCAACATACTAAGACCGACGTGCATTATGGGCCACTGTTTGATCCCTGCGGCATACAAAGACCAGGATGCATTGCGTTGGCGAGATAATTGACTCACAAGGATATTTTTGGATTATGTAATTATCGGTCTTAGTATTTGATCACCCATATCCACATAAAGTCCAACAATAGTTTTAGTATCGATGATTTCTTATCGTTTGTTTTGTTCAGTCCTCGCTATCTCGCGCAGGTGTATTATTTCCTTAGATTGGACAAAGACGTGATTTCTTGTTGATTTTTTGATGAGATCTCTCGCCGCATGCAAATGTTTTGAACTCTAAGTCGAACTATTTGTTTTGTTATTGTCACATTCAATATTCACTCACACATTCCACGGTAGCTTGATTCGACTGCTTATTTTGTACGTAAAGTACTTGCGATTTGACTTGGCTTGTGAGGTGGATGTGGACTGACTATGCAATGCCAAACAAGTAAGCTATGATAAGTTGTCAGTGTTACTGACAACTGATGATCTTTACGGTACTTTGTTTTCTGACTAAGACGATTTTGACCTTTGGGTTAAGCACTGTCGTGTTTGCTGTTTTTATAATCGTTGTATAACGAATTTAAAGAGTCTTGTTGTCAACACTGTCTGCTCCTTCAAGTTTCTGTTTCGTAACGCTTGTTAGCGCATAAGGGCATGCGTGATATAGTGAAACGAAAACGTTACTGCTTCTTATCGTGCATGGAGACTTGAAAAGTTATAAAATCGGTGTTTGTTGTATTTTGAATCTCTCCAAATTGACGATCTTAAATTGTATTGGACCGGTCGCCATAATCGTACTGTTAATGTTAATGCCAGATAGACCTGACTTTTGTAATTCAAAATGCTTGTATCAAAAAAGTTCTGTTTACTCATTCGTGCTAATGTATCCTATATTAATTCGACGTATTTAGATCTACAGTGCAAACCCCGTTAGAGCTAAAATCCAAGCAGCCCGAACTCGCCACTGAGAGAAATGAAAGAGATTACAAGGTCCATTTCCAGCAAGAAAAACCAAGTGAACATACAAAGTCTTTCAAGACTTCAGGGCCTGTTTCACCTGACACCATACGATACCAGTAAGTGCATTATGGAAAACATCTTATATGCTCTTTTATTAAATTTTATCTTATTTTGGCTATTTATTGTGTATTGAAATTCTGGACAAGACAATGTCCCAGTTTTCTTTWCACGCAGGCCGTCCTAAAAGACATTATAGCATGGGCCAAACGTTAAATGTTTCAATCACCGTAAAGCAACCGATGTTGTTGGACGACCAAACGGATTTTTGGATCTTCATCAGTTCATCAATTTGTATTACGGCCAACGCCTTGAAACCATATTCAGTTGACATCTTAATAATACACCAAAGGAAATTTCATCAAAGGTGGATGCATTTCAGTAAAACACTCTTTTCTTTGTTTTTAGATGGACTGACGATGGATTTGGCAGTATGACGTACTTGAAGAAGCTGAAGTAAGAAATCTTTTACAAATTCCGTAATTTTCTATTGTGACTATTTCAATATTTTGTCTTACCATACATTAGCCCCTTCACTGTTTAATTTGAATTAGTCATTATATATATATTCTATTTCCTCTCCAGATCCCCTGTGTCTCCCAGGACTCCTAGAAAGAAACTCACACATTCTCAGACTCCTCGGTCAGAACAGATCTCTATGACAACAGGGTCTCGATCTCTTGACAAGAGGACCTTAGCATCATTAATGTTGGTTAGACAACTAGGAGAAACAGACCGAAGAGATAGGTGAGAATAGTAGTATTACCAACATCTCATTACTGGCTRCATTCACTGTGAAAAAAGCCGGTTGAAYKAACCAATAAAATTTGATTWTGTATATGCATATCTATGTTTTTACGTGCATCTGATATAACGTCCTTATTGCTTTGGTTGAGTTAGCTGTTTACAGCTGTTATAGGAACATTTGTGACCTGATAAATATTGATCTATGATGAATTATCATTAATGAAGAATCCATTATATTAAACTATTGTAACTCTTTCTCTCGGYCATATAGCGATCGCATGGGAGTCACCATTGAGAAAAGTCCTGCTCCTCCAGCGGACCCTGTSGAGTATAAGTACAATATGGAATACATGACTATTTGTCAGCCTGTTGGACCACGACTTGGTACGAATTACACTCTTTTTGTTCATTTTTATACATCATGTTGTAAGTATTCAGTTATTTTATCATTAGGAGAAATGGAGAAACCATCCACTATGGCCTGGTACCTACAAGGTGACCATGGTTTGTACAGAGATCCCAGCATGCGTAGCGAAAGGTAAATCAATCAGTAGGCGTTGTCCACCAAGTAATGTTGCTTGTGTAGTGCAGCACAATGTCAAGGAACTTAATCCTTTTTCCCCTTCTTCATATAGTGATGAAATACGAATTAAAAGAGAGGTTCGCATCCCACAAGATCGTTCGCTGATGATAGAGGGGAAGCACATCGGTGGCGAAACAGAGCAAGACGATAAAGGAACTTCACAAGATTTAAAAAGTCAAGAAAAAGACGAAAAGACAAGCAGCCGAACACAAAAAGAGGAAAACAATAACAAGCAAAAAGTGGAAACAGGTAAGTAGATAGACTGGATTTTTTCTATCTAAATTAATAATTAATTAATAAAATTTATAATGAACTGAATGTAGTTTTTTATTGTGTATTTATGCTTGTTGCTATTTTTAATATGTAACGACTTCCCAACAGACCAWATAAAACCAGMCAAAAGTGTTCTACGTCCCAAGTCTCCATCACCTAGACGACCACCTTCAGCTCCTAGCAACGAGAACCGCCATATCTCTATTCCTACTGATAAAGGCTTTGGTACGGCATCGAGGCCGTGCTCAGCCCGCAGTGATCGGTCTGATAAAAAATATGCATTCTCTGTTAAACAATTTAATCACTTCTGCTGGCCTGATGAGGTACGGTTCGATTTTCCATGTTTATTCCGATAATAGTTCGGAAGATATAGTCAATATGGACGCCTCTACTAGAATCACTTTCCTTAGAATCCTATATGTCTTAGCCCGATTAAACTCTCTAAGAGCGTCTACCCTTGATAATCTTTAGATGTCATGTGATTATTTCTTCGTTCCCAGGCCTTACTTACTGACGATGTGATTAGACAGAGAGAAGTCTGGGCAGCAGTTAACATACAAAGGTATGTCAGAAAAATATTGTATTTCATAAGTTCAACACTTTTTTTCATTAGAGTATGTGACAAAATGAAATATCATTGGTCATGACAGATTATTTATAATATTTTCTTAGAAGACTTTCATTTAGTTTATATTGTTAATATTTGCTACAGAATATTTCGAGGTTTTATGGCGAGACAGTACTACCATACACTGAAGGACGCTGAACGAGAGCGACAACGAAAAGCAG